TGGAGACTTTACACCTACTCTCCTGCCCTCAAGAGGCCAGGAGGTGGAATTAGCTTATTCTTTTCTTTTTTCTTTTATGTTTTTATTGAAGTATAGAATCCATACAGTGAAGTGTACAAATCTACAGTATACAACTCAATAAATTTTTGCATCTGTATTTATCCCTATAAGTATCACTGCAGATGAAGATGTAGAAACAGTTTCATCAATCCAGAAGGGGTCAGTTTATTCTTAAATTATTTCTGGAACAAGGTGGTGGTGTGGTGGTGTGAGTAAATTAGTAGATTCTCTTTGATTTCTTCATATGGCATATGTAGGTTATAATGTTTAGTTTTGAAGATTGCAAAGGTCTGAAGCAACTGAGTTAGAAAGTGTTAAAACAGGGAGATGGGATGTTGAATGTGAGCTTTGGCAGAATTAAATGGGACGAGCTTGAGTGAAACAAGGGGAAAAGCAAAGAGGAGTCATATCACGAAGAATTCAGGAGAAGCAAGGTTTATTTGAATTTCAGAAGTGAAAACATAAAACTTAGTTTGCCATTGCTGCTGTAACAAATCATGACAAATTTAGTATCTTGAAACAGCACAAATTTACTTTCTTCCAGTTTCGGAGGCTCTCGGGAGAATCCACTTCCTTTGGCTTGTGGCTCTTCCTCCATCTTCAAAGCACCTTCTTTCCTCTCTGTTTCCATCGTCACACTGCCTTCTCCTCTCTGAAGTTAAATCTCCATGTCTGTTTCTTAAAAGGACACTTGTGATTATATTTAGGGCCTACCCGGATAATCCAGGATAATCGCCTCATCTCAAAACTCTTAATTTAATCACATCTGCAAAGTCCCTTTGTCACATAAGGTAACATTCACAGGTTCTGGGGATTAGGGCATGGATACTTGGTTTTGTTTTTCAAGGATCTTTCTTCATAAAGGGAAGGTCTGCTATATATTTCCTGCTAGTTCATTCTCCTTTTTAATGCTAGATTAATTTTTCTAAAACAGCACCTTGTACATTTTACTTCTTTGCTCAAACATCTTTGATGACTTCCCATTGGCTGATACAATTATTAGGGCCTAGATTGACATTCACGTGGCTATTTAACCCCAAGTCACATTTCAGGTTTTTCTCCTCCTCTTTCATCATGGATGCAGCAGCATGCATTTTCTCATTGTTGCCCCCATGATCGGCTTGTCTTTGCTTGCTCTGACTCTTCCTCCTGCCTGTGGGGCCCTTACCTCCCTTCAAGGCCTTCTCAGCAGCATTCCCCTAACCATCTGTATTAGCTTCCTAGGGCTGCCGTAAGAAATTACCACAAACAACAGCAATGTATCTCGCAAAGCTGTGGAGGCCCGAGGTCTGAAATCAGGGTGCCGGTAGAGCCATGCTCTAACTAGTGGCTTTAGAGGAGACTCTTTCCTAGCTCCTTTCAGCTTCTGGTATCTCCAGGTGTTTCCTGGCTTGTGGCAGCATGACTCCAATGTGTGCCTCCATCTTCACATGACCTTCTCTCTGTGCCTCTCCATGCGTCTGTCATAAAGATGCTTGTCATTGAATTTAAGTACCACCTACAGAATCCAGGATGATCTCATCTCAAGATTCTTAAGATTTTTACATTTGTAAAGACCCTTTTCCCAAATAAGGTCACACTCACAGGTTCCAAGGTTAGAACGCAGACAAATTGTTTGGCAGGATACTGTTCAACCCACTACACTACCTCAGTCAGCAGTCATAACTTATTTCTGTGACCTCTTGACATGACTGGCATGCCTACACAACTTATTGGGAACCCATCATCTCTATCTTACTATTTTTGGATAATTCTCACCTCTTTCACTAAACCATAAGTCCTTGTCTTAGTCCATTTGTGCTGCTATAACTAAATCCCTTAGTCTGGGTAATTTATAAACAATAGACACTTATTGCTTACAGTTCTGCAGGCTCCAAGATCAACGTATGGGCAGGATTTGGTGTCTGGTGAGGGCTCACTCTGCTTCAAAGATGGCACTTTCTTGCTGTGTTCTCACATGGTGGAAGGGGGGCCCAGGGAGCTCTATTTTTTATAAAAGCACGAATCTCCCTAAAGACTTAATCACCCACCAAAGGCTCCCTGCCTCTTAATAGTATCTCATTGGGTATTAGGTTCCAATGTATGAATTCTTGCGGGGGGCACCAACCTTCAGACCATGGCAGCCCTTGAGGTCAAAAGGGTTTCTTTTGCTCTGAAACCCTCAGTTCCTAGCAGGGTGCTTAGCTCTGTAGTGCTTCAGAAACAGCATCTATCAGATGATCAACTGTTTTTTTTTTCTTTTTTTTAATAAAATGAAAGGTGTCAAGTAAAAATCCTGGTGTGATTATCAGAATTTTATTTTGAAATATCACAGGTGATTTTTCTCATCGCAAGTTTCTTTTTTGTTTGTTTGTTAATTTCTGGTACTTTACTTTTGGTGTAGAGTAACCACTTTTGATTGTCTGAAACCTTAAGTGAGTAGGGAGCAGAGCTGATGTTGGAATAGCCAAGCTGAGAAAGGCCTCTGCAGGGAAGTGCAAACCCAGTGGGGACAGGGTAGGTTTGGAGATCGGCCAGATACAGCTTGGAAGGCTTGGGGGCCGAGCTGTCACTGTTACTTGGGAATTTGTCTTACCTGGGTGGGCTCTTGGAAGTCTTGATCCTCACTGGAATCCTTTCCAGTGGGTTCTACAAACCTGGAAGACACTCTTGTGAGCACTTGAACTTGATCTCCCACAGCACAATTGGAAGGCTATGCCGAGGGCGGCCCCCAGCCTTGCTTTCCATAAGGAGATGATGGTTTCACAATGTCTTCTGCATGACAGGGCCTCCTTTGCCTGCCCTGTAAGCACAGCTGCTCTTTGAAGCTTACCAGTGAGCATGGGTCTTAGGCTGTTTTCCCAATTATTCTCTTTTCTTTATTTGGCTAAATTTCAAGATTATCTGCGAATAGCTCCTTTTTTCTTTTTTGTCTTTGGATGCTGGCAGTCTAACCCCATTAAAGTTTAAGTAGTGCTCTCATGTTTTTTGTATTAAGCATTTGAAGGTGACTGATTTTCAGCCTTTGGTATGTTCAGGCTAATATTCAATGGTTATCTTCATTTGGAGTTTTACTCTATCCATGAATCCTAATATAACTGCTCAGGTCTGTGCAACATAACCATTACTTACAGTGCCAGTATTCTATTGCGGGGTTGGCCTAGAACGTACATGTTAATCCTTTCCCATGATATCATGGGAGAAAAGAAAGGCTGGAAAAGAATGCAGAGACTGTGACATAATGTGTAAGAATGGCCTATGGTGTCAGGCAAGTGTGGGTTTGAATCTCATTCTGTCACATCCCAGCTTTGTGACATTAGGGAAGTTACTTTTCTTCTCTGAGCTTCAGTTTTATCGTCTGCGTAATGGAGATGATAATTGCTGTTATGTCATTATGTGTGTTGGGAGGATTGAGTGTGGTAATATGGATGCAAATCTCTGTCACAGTAGTGTCTGGTACCTTAGAAGTGTTCAAAAAACTGTGGCTGTTATTATTACTCATTTTTTAGGGAAAACCAAGGCACTAGTGATAATTATGGAATGTTTCCAAGTCACCCACAGTAAAAGTCTTTAACTTGTGGGATTTAGAAAACAGACCATTAGTGTATTGAGTAATGCAGTATTGAATATGTCAGTTACTACAATCTGGCTCTGTGGTATTTATTTGGTTAGTTTGCAGAAAGATAGACAAATGACATGAATAAAAGCACACTTATTGACTTTCTTACTGATCTGAAGCATTTATCATGCTGGCTGTGTAAAGCTATACTTCCTCTAAGTTCAAGGCCTCTACCTCCAAACTCAATGGGAGGATAGAATTTAGAGTATAGTTTAATTATTGGTGTTAAATTTGTATTCTTAAGAATAATTTTGTGACTGTTAAAGTCTGAGAGGTTTATTCTGTATCACATGGCTTTTATAATAGAGATGTGATTAAATACATTCTTTGTGCTAGGAAACCTGGAATCTGTACACTGCCTTGCTGGTTTTCAGATCAAAGAAAAAAATCATAGTAGGTGAACCTTAGAACAGTCAGTCACCTGCCTAGAGTTAATATTTTGGATTAAAATTACATTCCTTAAATTCCTCTGTGTAGCAGATTATTTCTGAAATTTTCCGGGGATGGGGGAAGCAGGAACATAAAATGCTAGAGATTGAGTAAACTGCATCATCTTTGAACCTTAAATATTGATGTTGTAACTGGATGTTGAAGACTTTGCCAGAGTTCATTGATTCATAAGTTGAAGAGTTTCTCATGTAGGGTCATGTGTTCATACACGGAGGAAATCTTCTAAGATTTGGAGTCTTACAGCGGGAGATACAGGGCTAGATGCATGAAAGAACTTCCATGTGGAGTCTTCTGCCTGAATGTAAACTCTGAGGGCAGGAACTTGATTGCCTTTGCTGTCATACCTCCAGTGCCTAAATCAGTACCTGGCTCATTGTAGGTGCTCAGTACCTCCTGGCCAAGGGCATGAATGAATATGGGAAGGAAAAGCAGTGAACTTGCTGTGGTTGAGAACACTTTCTGTACTCTGTACTTTATGCAGTTTATTTCTGGCTTGGCCTTTGTTAAGGGTCAGGAAGTTGGTTGGAAGAGAGATCCATCCACATGTTGGAACATCAGCTGTGTGCCAGCACTGTGCCAGTCCTGGAGATGAGATGGTATAGAAACCTTTTCCAAGGTCTTCTTCAGTATTGGACTGTTGGGGCTTCTACTTTTCCTTTTGACAGTGATTGTAATAAGGGATGTTTCCCTAGAATGACTCCCACTAAAGTAGCAGAGTGATCCCTGAGTTCAGGGGATTGGATTATTTTTATTTATTTGTTTATTTATTTATTTATTTTGAGATGGAGTGCAGTGGTGCGATCTTGGCTCACTGCAAGCTCCACCTCCCAGGTTCACACCATTCTTCTGCCTCAGCCTCCCGAGTAGCTGGGACTACAGGCGCCCGCCACAGCGCCTGGCTAATTTTTTAAAAATATTTTTCGTAGAGACTGGGTTTCACCATGTTAGCCAGGATGGTCTTGATCTCCTGACCTCGTGATCCACCTGCCTCGGCCTCCCAAAGTGCTGGAATTATAGGTGTGAGCCACCGTGCGTGGCCAATTTTCTTTTTTATAAAGAAATGGGGTCTTGCCATGTTGTCCAGGCTGGAATGCAGTGGCTATTCACAGGCAAGATCATGGTACACTATAGCCTCCAACCTTGAACTCCTGGGCTCAAGCGATCCTCTTGTCTTAGCCTGCCTAATAGCTGGCTCTACAAGTGTGTGCCACTGCTCCCAGCTCTGGGTGGATCTTTAACTGTGAGTTTAAGTCAGTCCTGACAATTTTGGTTCATTTTATTGTCCCTGAGAAGCAGCTAGGTAAATGCGGTCGTTAAAATACATGTCTAAGCAGTCTTAGTGGCCTTCTTGGGCTTCCTTTTGCTCCTCCCAAGTTAGAAGTCAGGGCAAGTCCTTCCCCCTGCTTCATCCTATCCCCTTATAACTTCACATAAAATAGTGACTATAAAGATTTGAAATCCCTATGATTGTGTTGAAGGAGAAGGGTTGAGAGTGAGTGGGTCTTATTTTCCTCCCTACCTTCCTTGTCAATTTTGAGCCTGTGTATTCTATAGTTTTTTTTTTTTCTTCTCAGTATCAAACTGAAATCTTATTTATGTCTTTTTCAACTTTAATATCCCCACTTTTTGATCTTTGGAGATTAGAAGCCAAGTATGGACAAGAGGAGAGTGGCCAGGGCATTGAGTAAGCATGTATGTACATTTCGTAATTTTTGCCATACCTGGTGGGTTGTGCTGAATTTCTTGGGCAAAAGGCCTGAAGTTCTGTTACCACCAGGGGAACAGGAATTGTGGTTGCCATCAGGATCACAGCCAGGAGTCTATTTATAGTCTGCAGTGAGTGGCTGTGAGCCCACCATGGTTCTGAATATGCCTCCTGCCTTAAAGTTCCCAGTGTTCTTGAAGCGGACCCTGCCCTGGCTGGCCAGACAGTAGTTAATGATAAAGTGGACGGCTGCAGGATGTGGCGCGTGATGGCCTTGGCGGCTCACAGCCTGCAGGTGCTTGTGCTTTGGCTGACCTGAACCCAGCCAGAGAGCAGGTGCTCCCTGCCCCCATGCTGGCTTCCTGGCCTTTCTCTGAGCTGGCTTCACTGACATGGAGCTGATGGACCACTCGCTAACCAGAGTCCACTTTCTTTATTCCACATATGCCATGTCAGGTTAAGATTTATAACAGGTCATGAATTTAGCTTCCTCCTCTCTCTGAGTTCAGGTTGAATATCTAGATTTGCCTTGCAAAAAGGGCCAAGATCAGCTGACACTTTGCACCTTTTAGCTCACATTAAGGTATACGGACTGGAAGGAAAAGGTGAAAAAATAAGTTCTCACAAGAAATAACCAGGAATGGAAAACTTTTTTCTTGCGTTCATAGCAATGTATGATATGCGTATTTATGTTGATTCTTGGATGCTCTAATGGTGGAGTGATAGTTTATGCGTTCAGTTCCTTTTGCAGGTGATGGAAAACTCCAACCCAGACGAGCCTTAGTAAGATGAACATGGAATGGCTGCCATTTTATGGAGTCCAGGGTAAAACAGGTTTTAGATCTGGGTTGACTCAGGGCTCAAGCAGTATCCCTAGAGCCCTGTGATTTCCCCTCCAGTTCCTCCTTTGTCAGTTCCATTCTCAGCAGGTTCTCCTTTCATGGTAGCAAAATGGCTCTGGCATATCCTACATTCAAGTATAATGAGAAAATCACACCTTCTTTTCTAGTAGTTCCTGTAAAATCCCAAGAATCACTCTGGGTGGGTTCAGGTCATGTCACACCCTGCAATCCAGTGCAGTGTGATGATTTCCAACCACACCTCAGCACACAGAATACGAGGGGGTGTATCCCAGACCCAGTTCAGGAGTTGTTGCTGGGAAAGAGGGGGAGGAACTGAGGAAGCATAGAGTTTCTACAGAATGATTCCATGAAGCACATATTGGGGACTTTCGTTCTCATAAAAGAGCACTGTTCTTGGGACCTCATACAGTGTTGCTTGGTTCTCAAAAAGTACTAAGTTCTTGTGTGGTTTCTGGGTAAGTCTGGCATCCCCCAGAAGCAGGGAGCCAGTGATTTTGCTGATGCCCTTGGGATGTTCACTGCAGGGTACCAGATTACAGTAGGTTGTAATGGATGCCATGCCCAGGTAGTTGTGTGGTATGACATTAGATCAATTAGCTTTCCCTGTACACCATTACATTAAAGAGTGTCGCTGGACAGCCATTCTCAACATATGTTTTGTTTGTCTCTGAAAACACGTGTTCTATTTCTCTCTGACCATTCAGATTCATTTTGATGACTGTCTTGTCAGCTTGGGGCTGGGGAGAGGGGAGGACAGGCTTCGTTCTGGCAGTGCTTCAGGCTTGGAGCAGCATCCTGCAGCCAGCACCATAAGCTGTATAATTTGTCCATGGAGGCCTATGCATTATAGAAATGAAAATTCCTTCTCTGACAGCATTCATTGCTTAGCACGCAGCAATTTGGCTGTCAGAAACAGCTGGCCCTGCAGGGTGGGACAATAGAAAGGCGAGACCCGAGAGAGGCCAGTGCTTACTCAAGTCTCCCACTGTGAGAGGATCAGGTTACTGAGACTGTCATTAACAACAGACTGCAAGGGGCTCTGGGCACAGCTTCCAGTGAGCAGGAGCCTGTGGCTCAGACAGTTAGTGATTTTCCCCTGTTTTGCTGAATGGAACAAAAATAAATAAATTAAAAATAAACCATTAACCTTTGCTGACACTCAGTTGTTCAGTTCTGATTGTGTCTTCTACTGGGTGATGAGCATTTCTGGGGAAGTAAATCCCTTCTAACCTAAGTATAGTTATTGGTGCATTGCAGAAAACTCAGAAGGGAGTGGGGCTGAGGGGCAGGATGGATTGCTTGACACCTGCATGTTAGAGGGCTGTAATTTTTGGTTCTACTTACCTAGAAACAATGCTGAAAGGACCAGTATTGGAGACCTTATGAGGCAGGTTTAAACATGAAGTAGAAATGGGGTTATGCGTTCTCCCCAGATGTACATACTTGGAAGAGCCATGCAGCAAGCGGAGGAGAGGAACAGAGGAGCTGTGTGGCTTGACCCTCCTCGGAATCTGCAGTGTGGCTGGCTCTGTGTGCTTCCTGTATTGATTCCATGACTCACAGAGCATGAGCTAAGCAGAAAGCATACTTAAACTACAGAGGAGACAGCTGTCTGTTACAGGAGGACATATTTTCTGGGTTTAATGGCGCCACATTTTTCCTAATAGTTTGTACACTAGAAATGTACTTACTAGTAATGTCTGCTAAAGGGTCTTTATTATTTTTTCCTTTTTGAAAAAAAAAAGAGACATTCTTTAAAAAATCACCTTCTAAACATTATTCTTGACTTATTTCACAACAGGACTTCCCATGTAGGAAAACAGTACCAACATTTTGTTTTTCTTTTTGTACAATAAGCAGCTTGTCACTGTGGGTTGTTTTTTTTTTCCCCACCTCTTGATAGCAAGGGTCTATCAGAAGTTTAAAGCAATACAGCGGGAAGTACCTTGCCTTTTTGAAGCGAATAGCGTTTCAGAGATATTGGGCGGCTCAAGGTTAGTTCGCCTGTTGGAATTCGTTTGTTGTTCAGTGTGGCTGGAACTGTACTTTCTCCTGCTCTCCCTCTAAATCTGTTTCGCTTTTACATGATAGAGGCTGAAGTTCCCAGATGTTGTTTGGATTAAAGAGTGTGTGTGGGGAGGGGGGAAAAAAAAAGCTTTCTTGATGATAATAACAGAGTCAGACTGGCTGGTTCTGTACTGACAGGAAAATGGAGAGATAAAAACTCCATTAATGGTGTGTGCATTGCCTAAGTAGCCAATAAAACAATGCTGTCCTCACTGGAAGCCGGTCCCAGACTGGCAACGCTTCGTGCCAACTGTAGGAGACAACAGCTGCAAAGAGGGGCAGAGAATTCTAGTCAAGAGTCCACGTTCAATGACTGGCTTGGGGGGCAGTTCTTTTGTTCTCTTCCTCCTCCTCCTCCTCCTTCTCCTCCTACTTTTGCCCATTTTCCTTGATGAGCCCCTCTTAATGCTCACTGTTCCAGAAATTGAACCACATCTGATTAAAACTTAATGGTTACTCACAGAATGAAGTTGGCTGGTAGTTTCCAAGCCTGTTTGTCTGGTTTCCTTTGAGTTTGTGACAATAGAAATTGTTATTTTGTATAAAATGTATCTAAGGGTTACAGTCCTTAAAGTTTGACAGAACAGTCACTTATCACAGATGTACTGCTCTATTTTCCCTCAAATATCTTTAAATTTCCATTCTCGAAAATAAATTTAAAAATTAAAATTTTTTTTTTTTTTAAAGCATCTCATTTTAGAAGATAATGGAAAATGGCAAAGGCTTGCTTTAGTCAGCTTTCATTCTATGTGTACTTCCTGAACCCTTTCTCTGAGTGAAGCTCTCTTCTGTGACGCTGGGCCAGGTAAGGCTATGTGCAGAGGAGACCTGACTTTGGGAACTTACTGTCTCTTGGTCAGGTAAATCCTTTGATCTCCAAAGGGAAAGAAAGACATGCTGTTTGCATGGTTTAGAAAAGCATCCCTGTAAATTCAAAAGAGAGATGAGCTGATTACCTAGCCCTGCCTCTGTTACACGTGAGTGTAAAATTTAAATTACTTTGACTTTTATTCATAATATACATGGGGAAGGGAAAATATATTTGAGTGTTTATCTTTGTGCCACATCCTGTGCTACGAACTTTATATATATTAGGAAGTTGGTATCTGTAGCCTCATTTTACAGGCGAAAGAAACGTAAATCTGAAGGAGCTCATTTACTCAAGGCTGCAAAGTCTGTTCTTCCTGTTCATAGGTGCAGATGTAATGAAGGACATGATATGAACCAATTCATCTGGTATTTATTGCACGTAATTACAGTAGGCATCCAGAAGAGGAGATGGAGTGTTCTTTATCTAGTCCCTTCAGAATGCTGGTGTCATGGGGGAAGGGCACACACTACTTTTAAATTCTGGAAGCCTTATAAATCCTGGAAGGCTTCATAAAGGAGGAGAGACATTCATTTATCTTGCAGCACACCCCCTTGAGTGTGCTTATTGTGTCAGGCACCCTGGTAGGGACTGGGGACTCAGTGCTAAAGACGACAAAGTCCTTCTGTTGTCAGAAGGTGATGGTGATTTCCTGGTGGGCAAAGCCGTGGGAGGGGAGAACAAGGGTGGGTATCGAAGTACGCTGGAGGAGATGAATCTTGAGAAAAGGACCTGGCGAAGAGCTCAGCTGGGAGTGACGCTTGTCCAGGTTTCCTTCCTGAAATGGAGGACTGTGCGCAGATATAAGGTGGTGGATAAAATGTATAGGAAGAAGCAATAAGGAATGCTTTTAGGTACAACCTGTGTTTCCTTTTTGGAAACCCCATGTGAATTGTGAGCTCCCTCAAGGTTCCTGACTGCGGACCTCTCACTCTCAGGCCACACCAAGTGGCCAGTGGCCACAGTATCTCAAGCCTGGTTTCTTCTTTCATCACTAAAGATGGCAAAGTAAGGTCATGGGCAAACCTTGTTCTTACAGATAAAGCCTTTATGTTAGGCATTTCCAAAAAAGTATTTGCCTCTTCTGACACAGTTTTAATTTACACAGCAAAGTAGGGAGCCTGCTCTGAGGAAATACGACTCCCCATGATGAATATTAGATGTTGAATGGCCTTTAACATGTCATGCATGTATTACTGTGCCAGCTTGTCTTTTTCTAAATGTCAGGTCATCACTGTTAATTTTATATGTTTAAAAGATTTGGGTGAATTCCAGGTGTAACACTTTGGTTTTCATTTTTACATTTCATAGTAGTTGAAAGGCTCCATGGTATTCTTGATAGATGCTTGTCTGCATCCATACTGATGAAGAACAGTAGAGTATATTAAATTAAAGGTTGTTGGCTGGTTGGTTGGCGGTGACTTGCTTTCTGTTTTCTGTTCACTAGATGATGCTTGGAGGATGTAATCTTCATACTGGTTATCAATCTGAAGGTTTCCCTTTGTTCTGTCAGTAAACCTTACTGGTTAACAGATCCTTGTTTTTAACCACTGGTTTTCAGCCCTGCTGTGGGGCAGAGCTACACTGCAGTCCATTGTGAGTATTGCTAAGTAATTTATTATTCATTATTGAGATAAAGAAATTTTGACATACATTGGAGCTGATTCAGCACAATACTCTTCCATGGGTTCCATTATGTCTTTCAGAGTGAGAAAAAAAATGGAACTCAAAGGCAAGTCAAAGTACTGTATGTTTTAGTTAGTAAAATACACTGTTAAGAAAAAGAAAAATTGTTAAGGAAAGGAAAGAAATGAGTATCACAGAAGTCAGCATTGTGGTTATAAGAGCATCAATAATATTAATAACTTACCCTTTAATGGTGCTTATATCATGTTCTGTTCTGAGTATTTTACATATATTAACTCATTTAATTCTTATGATAATTCTGCAAGGCAGGTATAATTTTTAATCTAAACTTTTCGGATGAAGGGAATGAGGCACATTCAGTTAGCTTCTGAGGCCTGAAAGGTAGCACGTGGCAGGACCACAGTTCTAACTGGCTCAGTTCTGGGTTTTAACCACAGTGTAGGGGAGGAAGGGGGCATAGTGGTTGAGGGCACATGGGGTGCGGTGTGGTGGGGTGTGGAGTGCTGGCAGTTTCCTAGAAAGGAAACATCAGGACCTTCACTGAAGGTTTTAGTTGCATATTTAGTATATATGGATTGTTTTAGTCCATTTGGGCTGCTATGACAAAATTCCAGAGGCTGTGTAGTTTATAAAGACCTGATGTTTATTTTACGCAGTTCTGGAGGCTGGAAAGCCCAAGATCAAGGCACTGGCAGATTCAGTGTCTGGCGAGGGCTTCTTAGGTCATAGTTGGCATCTTCTTGCTCTGTCTTCTCATGGTGGAAGGGATAAGGTAGCTCTCTGGGGTCTCTCTTATAAGGGCACTAAATCCACGGGGACACTCATCCCATAAGGCCCTGCTGTCATGATTTAATCACCTCCAAAAACCTCACTTCCTAATGTCATCCCATTGGTGATTAGGTTGCAACATATTAATTTGTGGATACAAACATTTAGACCATAGCATGGATTGAATATATATAGTCCTATACTATATGTTTTTATATATATGAATATATTTGTTTATTTGATATACATCTACATGAATTCATACTGTATTTGAGAAATGGCAGTATGAATGGCTTGTATGTGTGATATATATAGCTCCCTATTCTTGCTGTTTGATGTATTAATACAATAAACCCCACAGTTGGGACCCACCCATCTACCTCTAGAGAAAGAGCATAATCACATATGGAAGGTTTTTTCAACCCTGGAATGCCCCTACCTCTGTGGAGGATTCACATTTATTTGCCTCTTAAAAAAAAATTACCAGGCTGGGCATGGTGGCTGATGTCTGTAATCCCAGCACTTTGGGAGGTCGAGGCAGGCAGATCACCTGAGGTCAGGAGATTGAGACCATCCTGGCTAACATGGTGAAACCCCGTCTCTACTAAAAATACAAAAAATTAGCCGGGCATGGTGGCACGCGCCTGTAATCCCAGCTACTTGGGAGGCTGAGGCAGGAGAATTGCTTGAACTCGGGAGGTGTAGGTTGCGGTGAGCCGAGATCGCGCCACTGCACTCCAGCCTGGGCGACAGGTGATTTTACATATAATCCAAAATTATATTTAAAGGAAAATAGCTTCTAGACATGTATGTGACCTGCCCTTTGTATATCCAAAGTATTACTGAAAAACAGTGGAAGGATACCTCATGGTTGTGTTAAACCAGTCTAAATTTGGTTAGAAGTTCTAAGAGACTCAGTTGAATTCATGTTAGTATGTGTTGTCTTAAGCCTGAGTGCACAGCAGTTCTGGCAGAACCAACAAAAATGCTGCCCATGAAACAACTAAAACGGATTTTTAAAAAAGCTGTTATCTAAGAGTTACCTCCACCAATACTTAATGCATTCAAAATTAAAACTAACAGGAGCTAACCTTTTCCTTCCTGACAGTTTTAGAAAATAAGCCATTCTAAAACTTACAGAAGATTATCATTTCCCTCTTGGATTTAGAAAGTAAAAAAGCAAAATCAGGTAGACAGATGTTTTTGAAATGGACTAGGGTTCAGTGACCCGAAACTCAGTTGAATTTTTCTCATAATTGTTGACAGTGTGAATGGTAAACAGACAATTGCTAACGTTTTATTTCCTTTTCATATGTGTGTTGTACTTACATGTCCTGTCATATTGAAGCAATCCTGAAAGTATTAACTGTTTCTTACCTTGTCTCTCTCAGTGATACTCAACTCCCAGCTGCTCATTTGAGCCACCTGGAGAGTTGGGACAATGGCCATCCTCCATTTCCACCAGAGAGCACTCTTCAGGCACTTTTAATGTACAGCCAAGGGTGAGAACAACTGGGCTTATTTAGTCCTTTAACCATGGGGTTTTGGGTAATGCTTGTCTGCCCTTCCTCTTCAGTGCACAAAGCTCAAGTATATGCTGAACATCAGGGATGCAAAGATACAGGAAGCCAACCTGTGCAGTATGGAGACTAATTTGTTAACTTACTGATCTCTGGAGGAACTTTTACTTAGAGAATTCAGCTGGCTGCAGTATCACCTCTACCAGAGGAAGGATAGGGCTGACAATTTACTAGTCTCTAGCTCTTCTTGAATTGCTTTTGAAGGGTAGAAATGTGTGACAAAAGGTTTATACATGTGTGTGTCTGTACTTATATATAAAAATAGATGTTTTTAAGTCTTTTTGAACAATGAAAGTTCCTTTCATTGTTGCTCGGATAAATAGAGCACATTTTAAATGAGAATGGTGTTAAAACGGCTATGAAGAATTAATTTCACGTTAGAAATTCTGGCCCAAATTCTGGGAATTTGGGTTATTGATGATAAATATAGATCGTTTGTATTAATTGTCAGTTAAGTTGCTTCTTAAGAGTTGCAATATCACAAATGATCAAAAAGCTGATGTTTCAACTTGTGCTTATGTAAATTAATCACAGGTGTGGAATCTTGAGGCTTGTGATGAAAAGACTCCTAACACAGTCATATTCAGGCATGTTTTATGTTATAGAATTAATCTATACAAAATGAATCCTGATGCAAAACTATGTGTTCTAATTAATAGTAACCCAAATCAAGAGGCTAAAATTCCATTAGTGAACTGAATGCTGAGTGACACTTGAGGAGAGTAAAGTATAGAAAATGTCTCTTTTGTGGTTACTCATATAAAAGGTCTTGCGTTAAAGAGTCCCGAGATTTATGTATCATAGACAAGGTCGTCTTGATAATAGCACATAATTCTGGGAACAGACCCGTCCCCATCTTCCCACCCCACATCACCGCTACTCCAAAGTATCACTGGAATCCCAAAGAGGATTTGGCTTCAGGTAGGCTGGCTTCAGTCCTAACTCTTGACTTGCCATCATCCTTTCTCATTTTTGTCTTTCCTGTTATTTTCTTCTGATACCTCATGTGTCCTTTGGTAGAGGCCATTTCATTTTAATTATCTGCAATTTGCTAATTTAGTCTGAAGTCGGCAGTGATTTGCAGTTTCTCAGTAGTAGTTCTCATCTGACTGGGGGGTGGTGTCTGCCTGTTTTATGGATGGGACACAGGCAGAGAGTAATGTGCTTAAGATACCAGTGCCTGGGAAGTTACATGCCTAGGTTCATTCCTCAAGCTGTGTGATTCCAGAGCTTTTGCTGTTTTCACAAAAATTAACTGGGAAATAAGCTATGTCCAGGTGGTGAAGAGGCACAGCCCAGAATGTACTCGAGGTCTAAGTTGTACGGAAAAAAGGCTGTAAGACCTTTTAAACTGATTTTTAAAATAACAGTTTTATTGAGTTAGTTCATATACCAAAAATATTCACCCTTTTATAATGTACGATTCAGTGGTTTTTAGTGCAGCCACAGAACTGTTCAACTGACACCACTATCTAATGTTAGAACATTTTCACCACCCTGACAGAGAAACTATTAGCAGGTAAGACTAATTTTAAAGCTAATATTATTGGAGTAGAAGCCAAGGATTGGGCTCTCCTGATCATCCTGTGAACTGAGTGAGGGTAGAAACCCAGTTCCTGGTCCAACCCTGCAGTGGGCACACAGTAGACACCAGTGTTGACTCTCACAGAATCCTCCAGAACAGTGAATTCTCAACTTTTGAAATTTTAACCCAGTCCAATTTTGGTAAACTAAAAAATCTCCCTTTGCCCACTTGTTTTATGAAAACAACAGGATTTAAAATTATTTTCTAAGCACCTATTTATGTTTTTTGATTTTTCTAGGGTAGATCTGCCACCCTCATTATTTTGCTTGGAGAGTCATTGGCATCTCAAGACTTCTGGGTTATTTTCATTGCAGGTTTGGTTGAACACATGACATGATTCAGTGCAGTCATGAGTTCACATGACTCACGCATTAAGCGATTTCATGGGTTAAAGTGATCCCAGCCAGCAAATGCTAATAACAGCCATTTATTATTCCTTGGATCTTCCTACTCTTTTCTTTAACATTTGTCTTTGGCCATTGCCTCCTTTCTGTTACCTTTTTCATGCTTATTAAAGTAAATTGAATAACATTATATAGCAATGTGTGTTATTTGTCTTTTCTTCCCAGTGTGATATAAACAGGCTGGGGCTGAGAAAATGGGTAGTGGGGTGGGGAAAAACCTTTAAGAAGGTAAAGGCCAGGTGTGGTGTCTCATTCTTGTAATCCTAGTGCTTTGGGAGGCCAAGGTGGGAGAATTGTTTGAGACCAGGAATTCAAGGTTACAGTGAGTTATGTTTCTGCCACTCTACTCCAACTTGAGCAACAGAGTAAGACCCTGTTTCTAAGACAAAAAATGTAGCAAATGTAATATTGTCATGGTGAGAGGAAGAGCACTTCTTTTTCCTACTTTAGCTCCCTCAGTCACCTTGACTGACAACATCTGGAAGCAGGCCAGCCAGTGAGAGCTTAGCCAAGGGAATTGTATGGGGGCATGAGTCCAAGTGACCATCTTGGGAATAATTCTCTGGGAAAAAATTACATTTTTTTTTTTTGGGGGGGTGAAACAAAGCATCGCCCTTCTTACATTTTATTGGTAACAATTTAGTTTCCAGTAATATTACGTGGTAATATTACATGGTATTTAAGTATTGTTCTCAAGTTTTGTTTTCTCTCTGTGTGTGTATATAAAATTTAGAAAAAAGATTATGTCCTAAAATGTTAGAGTAGGGAATACTTTGTTTTCAAATGTAAGTCAGGAGGAAGCTGTGGTTGAATATATACATTTAGTTTACATGTTGTCTTTTTGTATGAAATCAGAAACATTGGTAGTTCTCTGTCTCTATAACTGAGGGTTTGGGGAAGTTTGTTTTGTTTTTTACTTTGAGTTAAAAGCCATGACAACACTGAAAATGGGTTCTAGTAGGTCTACCTCCTTTTTTGCCATTAGCATAATTATTTCTCTGTCATTTTTTAAATTGTTCATATTTCTCTTGGATGGTACCTCTTATGCTTTGAATCCATTATTAGGGTACACCATTTATTATCAACATTTATTAAGGGCATTTTATTTTATTTTGAGACGGAGTTTGCTCTTGTCATCTAGGCTGGAGTGCAATGGCATGATCTCGGCTCACTGCGACCTCTGCCTCCTGGGTTCAAGCAATTCTCCTGCCTCAGCCTCCCAAGTAGCTGGGATTACAGGAGCCTGCTACCACACCTGGCTAATTTTTGTATTTTTAGTACACATGGGGTTTCACCATGTTGGCCAGGCTTGTCTCAAACTCCTGACTTCAGGTGATCCACCTGCCTTGGCCTCTCAGAGTGTTGGGATTACAGGCGTAAGCCACTGCACCCAGCCTCTTGGCCTATTATTTATATGACTATCCTTGATGTTTCAGAGGTGAAAAATACTGCTTACCTTTGAGGAGTCCATGGACTCACCAGGGAAACAGTAAAATTTAAAAATTGAAATGCACTTTTAAGGGTCACAATAGTTAAGTTTGGGAACAACAGATGAGGGGGCATGTATTAATATTTCAGACAGGATGTAGACATGGGGGCTTTGGGAGGTGATGCTGGGGCTGATCCTGAAGCATAGGAGTTTGCCAGATGGAAAAAGACATTTCAGGCAGACAACTGCAAAGGCAGAAGGTGAACAAGGCCATGGTGTCCCCAGGGAGCTGTAAGATACAATTAGGATGAGGGTACTTATGAGATGATAATTCGATGATGTTGGAGATGTCTGGGGACAGATCGTGACAATCAGGAAATCTACACGAGCTAGGAGAGCCATTGATGGCTTTAAGCAGAGGAGAGGCACTAGTGTGCTTTACTCAATGAACGATTTACTACGCTGATGGCAGAGATGTAGAAGAGACCATGAAGGGGTCAGCTGGAGCACTGTTGGTGGGAGAGGTCCTGGGCTGGGATGTAGGTAGCGGTGGGGTTTGTAAGGCGAATTTGGTTTCTGGCTTTGTCTACAAGATTCTTCAGTGGTTCCATTGCAGAAGATAGGGCATAAAGAAAGATTAGTAGATTTGGGATGGTGGGTGACATGGACAGGATGCCCTTTAGTCTTGGGAACCTGGATGTATTCTTTTGCGCCCTTGAGAGACTGTTCTTAATAGACCCACTGTTACTCTACTTCTGTTTGTACATTTTCTTAGTTGCCCTTCAGTTGGCGAGCAAATGGTTGGTGAGCAAATTAAATTAAGGGCAAACCTCAGTCAGACACAGTGGCTCACGCCTGTAATCCCAGCACTTTGGGAGGCCGAGACGGGTGGATCACTTGAGGTCAGGAGTTCAAGACCAGCCTGGCCAACATGGTGAAACCCCGTCTCTACTAAAAATACAAAAATTATCTGGCATGGTGCGGGACTGCGGTGATCCCACTAGCGCAGGAGCTGAGGCCCACAACAAATCGCTGATGCCTGGGAGGCAGAGGTGAAGTGATGGGCACAAAGAAGCACACATTTGTGCCGACTGCCCCCTCCAGCCTGGCGTAAAAGAGTGAGGACGTCTCAAACCAAAAGCAAAAAAGAAAGAGAGAGAAAAAAAAAGAGACAGAAACTCCTAAAAATAAAAAGTGGTTATTTTTTTTA